ACCACGGGCGAGGTGCAGCAGGGCACGCACGTTGTTGGCTCGCCCACCGAGTCCGCGCTGCTCACGCTCGGCCTGCGCCTGGGCGGCAGCTTTGACGAGGTGCGCGCAGGCGTGGAGGTGGTGCGCGTGGACCCCTTCAACAGCAAGCGCAAGCGCATGGCCGTGGTGGTGAAGCTGCCGGACGGCACGCACCGCGTGCACTGGAAGGGCGCCGCCGAGATCATTCTCGGCATGTGCTCCACGGCGGTGGGGCGCGACGGCATGGCGGCGCCGCTCACGCACGGCGAGCTGGACGCCACCATCCTCAGCTTCGCCAACAGCGCCCTGCGCACGCTGTCTGTGGCGTACCGCGATCTCACGCCTGCCGAGGTGCCTGCCAACGGCGTGTGGACGGACGACACGCCCGTGCCCGACAGCGGGCTCACGCTGCTGGGCGTGGTGGGCATCAAGGACCCGCTCCGGGCAGGCGTGGCCGAGGCAGTGCAGCTGTGCAAGACAGCAGGCATCAGGGTGAGCACGCATCAAAGTGGGCATGGGCGTGTTGCCTCACTATAATGCTTGTACTCGTCTCCCGCGTTCTGTATCGTCAAATTACTTTGTCCCCCCGTCCATTTTGTTCGACCCTCTAATGGCCATTCTTTTCTTGCTTCCTGCGTTCTCCACCCATGTATTGCTCGGTATGTGGTGTGTGTCCTGTGTGTGCATGTGGTCCTGTGTGTGCATGTGGTCCTGTGTGTGTGTGTGTGGTATTGTGTGCGGGCATGGCATGGGGTGCCATGGCACCAGGTGCGCATGGTGACGGGGGACAACCTGAACACTGGCATGGCCATTGCTCGCGAGTGCGGCATCCTCACGGAGGGCGGCGAGGCCATAGAGGGCCCCAAGTTCCGCACGCTCACTCGCGCCCAGATGAAGGAGTTGCTGCCGCGCCTGCAGGTCCGTGCTGCAACCTGAGCACCCTCCCCCCCATCTGCTCTTTCTTTCTCCCTTCTGCCCAACACCATGCTATGCATCCCCCCTCCTTCCCCTCCCCCCCCACTCCCCCACTTCTCCCGCTGTTTTTTGCTTCCTATCACATCCCTGTTGCTCCTCATCCTCCCCCCCCTCCGCCTTCACACCTCACCCTTCCCGACCCCTCCCCCCACATGTGTGCGTGTGTGTGTGCGGGCAGGTGATGGCGCGGTCGTCCCCCACGGACAAGCACACGATGGTGAACTGCTTGCGTGAGATGGGCGAGGTGGTGGCCGTCACGGGCGATGGCACCAACGATGCGCCCGCGCTCAAGGAGGCCGACATTGGGCTCGCCATGGGCATTGCCGGCACGGAGGTGAGGGTGTGCGGGGTCACGTGTGGAATCAAGGGGCCTTGGCAGGGGGCAGCTGCTTTGTGCTGGGGGGCTGTTTTGATGGACCACTTGCCCGCGGGCGGCGTAGCACGTTGGTCGTTGGAATAAGGCTCTGCTGTGTTTGCGGTGCTAGTATTCGTTGCAAAGAGAGAGTCGCCTCAACTCCAGCGTATCAAACCCCTGTGCTGGTCACGCGCACTGTGGGCGGTGGCAGGTGGCGAAGGAGAGTGCGGATGTGATCATCATGGACGACAACTTCTCCTCCATAGTGAATGTGGCCAAGTGGGGGCGCAGCGTGTACACCAACATCCAGAAGTTCGTGCAGTTCCAGCTCACTGTCAACATCGTCGCACTTGTCACCAACTTTGTGTCTGCCTGCATCACAGGTGCGCCTGTTCAACCAACGTGCCCTTGGCCCAGTGCCATCAAGCCCATCTCATCTTTCCCTCGACATCCCCACTTGTCCTACTCGCTTGTTTTCTCCCCTGCTCCCTCATGCGATTTTCTCGCCCAACACTCACACTGCACCAACCCGTGTGACCCCTACTCCTCCGTCTCTTCCTTGCCCCTTTGCTCTCTTTTCCCCATCCTCTGTCTCTCGCCATGCTCCCATGGTCCGCGTGCAGGTTCGGCCCCTTTGACAGCGGTGCAGCTGCTGTGGGTGAACCTCATCATGGACACACTAGGAGCGCTGGCCCTCGCCACGGAGCCGCCCACCGATGCCCTCATGCTCAAGCCCCCTGTGGGTCGGCGCACGCCCTTTATCAGCAGCATCATGTGGCGCAACATCTTTGGCCAGTCCCTCTTTCAGCTGGCGCTGATGGCAGCGCTGCAGGTGTATGGCGATAAGTTGTTTGGGTTCAGTGCGGTGGGCGAGGAGGGCATGCTGCACCTCAACACCATCATCTTCAACACCTTCGTCTTCTGCCAGGTGGTCCACTGCCACAGCATCTCTGGACCTGCCACATGGAGCTTCCCATCCTGTCCCAGTCCCAACTGCCGCTCCTGCCTGGCTTTTCCTTCCTCACGCATGCCAGCGCTTCTTGTGCACGTGACTGTCCACCATCCTCACATGCCTGGCATCCCCCCACCGTGTGTACGGCGTGCAGGTGTTCAACGAGATCAACTCGCGCAGCATGGAGGAGCTGGATGTGTTTACGGGAATCCTGACCAATTCTGTCTTCGTGGGCATCATGCTCGTCACCGTCTTCTTCCAGGCCGTGCTCGTGCAGGCCCTTGGCAAGTTTGCCTCCACCGTGCCGCTCTCACTGCACGACTGGCTGCTCTGCGTGGGGCTGGGCGCCATTGCCCTGCCTGTGGGAGCGCTTGTGAAGCTCATTCACGTGCCTGCTCGCACTGCCCCTGGTGCCTCGGCAGGGCCAAGAGATTCCCTCAGGGAGCCTCTTATTGCCAACGGAGCAGAGAGGGTGTGAGTGAATGTTAAGGGAGCTGTGGGAAGGATGCAGGCATGGGCTGGGCGGTGGGGGGATGCAGTGTGACTTTGGTTAAGCAGGTTAAGGCAGGGATGAGGGCATGCTCACTGGAGCCATGGTGTGCTGAAGTTGTCAGCAGGGCTGTTGGGGGTGGAGTTTCCTGTTGCTGCCTCACGAGTCACGACAGCGAGAATGAGCAGGTTCCACATAGCAATGCAGGCGTTGCAACCTCAAGCTGAAATCGTTATCTTATTCTGGTGGTCAAGCATTAATGCACAGCACATGTAACTTCGTCTGGACAGGAGTAATGAATTGTTGAAGCTATTGTAGTTTTTAAAAGATTCTGCTGATGTTGATACACACCTTTAACAAAATTTCTTGGTGAACTGCACAACATTTGTAAGGAATTAGTAATTCCTTACTGAGGCTCGCTACAGAACGTACGACTCGAACAGTCCCGAACCATCGCCAGGGTTCCAGACCCTTCAGTTTGAGCCTCCTGGGCCTTTCCGGACCTCACTTCGACACATCGAGGCCCTTCGATACCATTCCCGAACCTTCCGATCCTACGTCTAGGATCACCCTAGGCTCTCTATATATTGTGCTTTCATTTTATTGTCATTCACTCGTTCACAGTTTCGCCATTGCCCTCCGCGCTACTCGGCAGTCCCATTCATAACAACATTCTAGCGTGCAACACGTGTTTGCACTGTACCCAGCCCTCGCTTGAACGAACGCTGTTACATAGACGACGTAAGCGCCACAGCACTTCGTTCAGCAAGCTCTTGTTCGCACCTCTCGCGTCGCATACTCCGCCGCACCAGTACTGTACGTTTGGACTGTGCGATGGGCATGACCACCAGCCTCAAGGGGAGTCACGAATCAGGGGTTTTTAGCTTTTGCCATCAACTCAGTGGGGCGACATATTTCTTGTGCCGTGATGCTGACATGGCGCGTTTCTATACGTTTGAAACTTACCAAGGCAGACTAACCCCGTCATCCAGATAGACCAAACTCATCCCACGAAACATTTCTCCGCGAGTTTAGGGTTTACCCACCCCAAAATGGCATGCGGGCCCCTATGGGTTTTATTTTGTTTTGCCCCGGGCAGCCTGCTTGCCTGATTTGCGTACCTAAGCTAGCCCGAAAATGTTTTGTTTCGCAGCAGGTTCGGATTACTGGTTTCATATGACTGCCTGTTTTGGTTCCGAACCTCTAAAAGGGCCCCAAGTCATCACTCGCACGTGTTGACGGCGAAAGAAAGAAGTCTCCCCACTGATTGGACTGCAGAAGCTAAGGGCGTGTCCTAAGATTTCAGTTACAGGTCGATTGACGGTTCAGTTACCCGATTTCAGCATGTAGCCACAAAGGAACATGCTAGCAGGACGCGCATTAGAGAGTATGCCGTCCAGGGTTCGTGGAACTGCAAGTGTCCCCCAGCTGACCGTGTTTTGCGGCCACGAAATTTGCGAACCCCAAGGATTTTCGGTAAAGCCCCGAGACGCGAGCCAGCGCAGAAAATCACTCTCTCAGAGCCCACGACAGAAGGGTAACATCCGCAATTAAGCGAAAATTGCGGATGATCTTTCTTGACTGGCCATTATTTAAGCCGTCCAGGGGTATTTCTTATTCGGCGGTCTAAACCACTGCCAGGTCAATGTGCAAACGCATGCACTCAAATCTAGTGCAATAAAGGTTTCTAGACTTCGAATTGGGGAGGATCTGTTTCCGAAAAAAAAGAACCAGAAGGCCCTGCTCCCAAACAATAAGGACACGGTTTTTTTTTTTTTTTTTTTTTTTTTTTCGTACGATACACTTCGGTTTCCGACAATTTGTTCCAGGACCAGCAGGAATACTTGAGCACGCAATTTGGGGTCGCATCCAGGATCCGATTTCCTTTTTTGTTCGTAATCGAGTGAAGTTTGTTGAACTGTGTTTTTTTACGTGAACGGCATGTACAGTCAGCCAAATGAACGCTTAGGACACGCCCTAAGACACACCGCCGCCTTGCGCTTCGAAAAGAACGCCCAGCAACACATCCCCCCCTCGATAGCCAATCAACATGGTTCACTTGCCCCTCCGCGCTTCGTCGGCGCCTCCCTTCCTCGTCTTGGTCGCAGGCTTGCCTGGCTGGTGCGCCTTGCACCTGATGCACCTCACTCCATCCTGAGATCCGAGTCCTGCTGTGGGCGCAATAAGCCTTGGAGGGGCTGATTCTTGCCAAGCATTCACCATCACCACCCCCTGCCATTTCCTTCCTGGTTCTGATTGCTTGGCGACATTGCGTCCTCGGTCTCAGCAATTGTGATGGCCTCGTTTCTCGTCGCTGCTCCCCTGGCGCTGGTGCTGGCAGTGCTGCCGCTGGCAGCCGCGGCGTCGGCCCCGCTTACCATGTCCACCGTCATCTCCTTCTGCCCCGACGAGCACTTCTCCTGCGCCTCCCCGTCCACTGTGCGCGCGCCCTCCTCGCCCGCCGACTGCGTGCCCTTCTTCCCCGACCACGCTGACGTGGCAGCCAGCTACGTCATCGTGTGGGATGCTCAGCGTGGCATCAGCGCGCCGCATTCCGTGTGTCGCGCGCTCACCTTCTGGGACTCCTCCGACTGCGCGCGCTCCTCCGCGTCCTTCTCCGTCGACATGCCCGGGGAGCTCCTCTCCCCGCCCGGCACCACTCCCCCCGACACCATCGCCGCCGCTCGTCGGGCCGAGGCTCATTCGCACAGCGCTACGAGCGGCTACTTCGGCCCCACTCCCACGTATGCTTCGATTGGCTCCGTGAGTTGCGCGCAAGTGGACGAGATCGAGCCGCTCATCCACGCAGCGTCCGCGCACCGGCCGTCGGACTTGCAGCCACTTCCGGTCACCACGGTGTACGAGCCGGCCGCCAGTGAAGGCGCGTGCTCCTGCAGCGCCATGCCCACCGTCGCCATCGTCGCACTGTCCGTCGCCGCTTTCTGCGTCATCTTCGCCGCCGCTGCCATCGCATTCGCCCTCTCTGCCGTGCGCCACGCGAACCGTGTCGCCAGCGACGCCGCAGCCGCGACGGTGGCAGCAGCAGCGGCGAGAGGAGGCGCGAAGGGGGCGGCGGCAGACGAGGCGGAGCCGCTGGCGAAACAGGGCGCGCTGGCGGGCGCGGCGAGAAGCGGAGGGCTGCTGGGAACAGCGCGCGTGCACGACGTGAGCGGCGAGGACGGCGTGGTTGGCGCTGTCTGAAGGTACGTGGGCGGTGCGACGAGCGACGTGCTCCCTTGCGTGAAACGGAATGAATTGGCTCGAGAATAGGCTTGGCGTCGTCAGCGGTAGCGCGTCAGCTTGTGGATTTTTTAACGTGGCCGTGGCCCTCCCGCCGTGCTCAAGTGACAGAATGGGGTTCGCGTAATTGGAGATTTCCACTCGCTCCAACTGTTCCTCACCTGTGCCCTCCTGCGACTTTCCGCCCCGACCATCTTCATCTGTGCCGTCTGCATATCCATCCCCCCCTCTCCCCTCTCGCTCTGTATCTCCCTCCCAAACCCATAAGGTAGTTTCCTGTCCTCTTTATACCCCTGCTTCCACAATGGCCGCCACGTCTCATCCTCCGTCTGTGCTCGCATCCTTGCTCTTCTCTCCTCTTTTCAGAAGCAAAGCCTTTTTGGCGGCTCCTACTCTGTTCCCAGCTAACGAATCTGTTGGCCTGACACTTGGGCTTACAGGAAGGAATTTCATTGTGAAGCACCTATTGCAGGAGCAGCACGGTGGCATTGCGCCTAGGTTGGTGATGTTAATAAGTGTCTACCACTGAATCCAAAGTGCGTATGTGAGTCAATGTAGCATTGACTCCACCTGGATTTAGGGTGTGGCTTGTGTAACATACCATGTCGGAGTGACTGTGTACATGTCAGGTGATCCAAGACCTGTTTGGATGAATCTGCCGGTAGTTCTTTGTATGCTCTTTGCGAAAGTTGAAGCCCGAGCCGCCAGTTCTAAGTGTAAGTAAGGAGTTTGGAATTCGTTACCGAGTTGTACTTCATGTTCATGTGTATGCTAGGTGAATATGCACTATAGCCTAGCGAGGTGCAGATAATAGAGAAGACAAAACCTAGATACAAACCATGTCTTTGTTAGAAACTGAAGAATGATCTAGCTAGAAGTAGGAGGAGCCATGGAAATGGCGACAGGTTTAGCTAGGGGGCGAGAAATTGAGGAGAGAAAAGAATCAGAATACGGTAGAAGAGAGAGGGATACAAGGAGGGGTGTTGTACCCTCTACAGTAAAGTTCAGTAGGACTACCAAGCCTACAATTATATACTAACATATATATTTTAACAGTCTTGTCACTGTTTCAGCCAATTGATGCTCTCACTGACATGCTATTATCTAACTTGAAAATTGAATGATAGATAGAGTGAGAGTACACAAAGATATACCTAAGTGTTGTACTCTCTAAGAGGCGACCCTATACAGTCTATACAAACATGACAAATACACATGTTTGACACACCCCCTAGACTGCATAGGGGAATGCCCTAAACAAACAGCTCAGGGCGGCACTACTAGTCCAACCTCTGAGTCAAGGGTCTGAGAGACCAGTAAGAAGGAGTACAAACAAGGCAAGAACAAGGGCAGGGCGGCACTACTAGTCCAGCCACTGCGAGAGGACACAAGTCCAGTCTGAGTATACGTATAAAGGACAGTACAAAGTCAAGGTCCTAGCAAGTGAGAGGCTACAGGAACTAGACCAAGCTGTACACAGTGCCGCTGATGATCTTTAGGCGCAAGCGCCTTCGTAAAGATATCAGCCGTGTTGGCACCTGAGGCCAAGTGTACTACGCGAGCCTGACGTCGCTGCTGTAGCTCACGCATGAGGAAGTACCGCAGCTGAATGTGCTTCGCTCTGCCCTCGAGTCGAGGCTCCTGACACAGGAGGATCATGGCCCTGTTGTCAGCGAACAGGACCGGGGCAGAGCTAGGCCGCTCACCTAAGTCAGTGAGCAAAAAGGTCAGCCAGCGGAGCTCCTGTGCCGCCATGGCACCAGCGTAGATCTCGGCCTCACAGCTGGACTGCGCAACAGACGAGGAGCGGGTAGCTCTCCACGAGACGGCACCTGAGCCAAGGCTGAAGCAGTAGCCCTGGGTAGACCTGAGTGTCTCAGCGTCGTCTGCCCACGAAGCGTCTGTGTGTCCAGTAAGGACCACTGGCCTGCGTCCTCCTAGCACTAACCCCATGCCCGATGTACTAGCAAGATAACGCAAAACCCTCTTAGCAGCAGACCAGTGTTGCTGTCGGTGTCTGCCTGTGGCCACAAAGCGAGCCAGGATGCTGAGAGGGTATGCGAGATCTGGGCGAGTGCAAGTCATCAGGTACATGAGGCAACCCACCAGCTCTGCGTAGGGGCCGCTGGGCTCTACCAACTCCTCAGACACTGGAGCGGAGAGTCTGTGGTCTACAGGCAGAAGGGTGGGCTGTGCAGAGGAGAACTGAAGGCTGAACCTCTGAAGGACCTGGCGCACCAAGTGTGACTGAGTCAGGGTGATGGTGCGCGCAGCTCTGTCCCTGGAGATCTGCAAGCCAAGGTAACGGCGCAGTTCTCCAAGGTCAGTGCACGTGTGTCTCTTCAGCAGCTCTGCCTTCACGGAGGCCAGTGCGTCCCTGTCAGCTGTGGCAAAGACCAGGTCGTCGACGTAAACAAGGATGTAGAACGGAGTCTGGCAACCACGAACGAAGAGTGAAGGGTCTGCAGAAGACGGAAAGAACTGCAGGTCAGCAAGCGTAGCACGGAGAGTGTCGTGCCACTCACGGGGAGCCTGGCGCAGGCCGTAGACGGGGCGCCGCAGGAGCCACTGGGTCCCAGGAGGGAAGGTGCCAGTGAAGCCCTGAGGGCGCCGCAGGTAGACCTGCTCGTGTAGGCTGCCCTGAAGGAAGGCAGTGGAGAAGTCGAGGGAGTGAAGCTCGTAGTCACGCTGAGCAGCTAGGTGTAACAGAACCCGAAGAGTAGTCATCTTCGGGGTCGGAGCGAAGGTCTGGAAGAAGTCCACCCCCTCGCGCTGACTGAAGCCTCTAGCCACATAGCGCGCTTTGAAGACAGGCGGCTCTCCAGGAGGGCGCTTCACCTTGAAGAGCCAGCGACCATCGACTACGTTCACCCCGGGTGGGGGAACTGCGTCGACGAAGGTGCCGGTGGATCTCCAAGATGCCATCTCCTGCTCCATGGAAGCTATCCACTGCGAGGCCCAGGGTCCCGAAGTCGCCTCAGCGTAAGTGCGAGGGGTCGGGATGTCGAAAGCGTCTGGGTCACCCTCAGGGACTAGCAGCATGGAACAGAGATGGGGAGCAGCCTCGGAGAGGAAAGCTAACTCGAACTGGCGGTCCTCCAGGACGTCACTGCCAAGGGCAGTAGCAACCCCGACAGACGGAGGACAGGCAGGGTCAGAGACCAGAGCGGAGGCGTAGTCAAGGCGGCGGGTAGAGGCGAAGTCAGCGACAGCAGCGACAAGAGCGTCAAGGCATGAGGCCGGAACAGACGGGTCGGTAACGAGAGAGGCAAGGACCCGAGGAACAAGGGGACGAGCGGCACGAACGTAGTCAGACAGCGGGGGGGGTGCAAGAACAAGGGAGGAGGCGACGGCAGAAGGGGAGGACGAGACGCGTGGGAACGAAGCAACATAGGGTGAGAGCGCAAGACAGGCGAGGCAGGACGAGCACGGGAGGGACGGTGAGACCAGACGTGCGACGGAGGAGTCGGGTCAGGAGACAGAGGAGGGGACACAGGAGGGAAACGAGGGGGGAGACGGGCCGGGGACGAGTCCGGCGGAGGGAAGACAGGGCCGTAGACAGCAAGAGGAGGAGACGGCCGGGGAGGAACCGACGAAGGGTCGGGGGACGGAAGGCCGAGCAGGCGAAGGGCTGACACCGGCGGGGACTGCTGCTGCGGCGGCACAACGGCGACACCGGGACCGCAAGCTGCTCCTCGGCTACCACCGGCACTCTCCACACCAGCACCCCCAGAGGGACCACCCCCAGGGCTACCGGGACGAGCACCCCCAGAGTCAGCGAACGGGTGCAGCGACGGCGGCGGCAGTGGCGGCAGTGGCGGCGGCGGCAGCGACAACGACGGCTGCAGAGGCGGCAGAGGCGGTGGAGGAGGGGACTGGGGAGGGGACACCGGGGGAGGGGCAGCCGGGGAGGACTGCACAGGAGGGCCACCAGAGTCAGAAGACTCCTCAACCGGGTCTACGACGGAAGGGGGGTGACGTGGGACACACCAGAGGGGGCGGGACGGGGAGGAGGAGGAGGAGGGGCAGGGACTACCGGGGAAGGGGTGGCCAGGAATAGGGGGGGGGTAACCGGGGGACCACGGTGGGGGAAGCGACGGTAGTAGGAGACGGACTCGTCAAAGGTGACGTCACGAGAGTGAAAGAAGCGGTGAGACGGCGGGTGGTAAAAGTGCCAGTCGGACGCGTCAAGGGGAAAACCGAGGAAGACGCAGGGAAGAGTGCGGGCGGTGAGCTTGTCCGTGCCGGAGGCACGAACGTGAGCAAGGCAGCCCCAGACGTGGAACGCAGACGCGTCACCAGGAGACCCAGTCCAAAGACGGGTCGGCGAAACCTGCGGCTGCTGAGGGTGCGGCCACAAGTTAAGCTGGTGAGAAGCGTAGCGCACAGCGAACGGCCACAGAAAATGGGGTGCACCGGCATGGATCATGGAGGTGCGTCGCTCAGCGACCCCATTCTGCTGTGGGGAGTCCGGTAGGGTAAACGTCTGGGTGATGCCCTCCGCACGACAAAAGCGACCAAGGACACCTGAGGCAAACTTGCCACCACGGTCTGAGTAAAGACGCAAGACAGGGAGACCGCGGTGGACACGCGCAGAGACAAGCCTGGGGATGAGAGCGCCAGGCACGTCGGCCTTGCGCTCCAGGGGAAAGACTGTGGTGTAATGAGTGAAGTCGTCGACGAGCACAAGGAAGTAGCGCTCTCGACGCGGCCCATGGACGGGGGCGGGGCCCCAGACGTCCAGGTGCAGGGTCTGCAGCGGCGCGGCGGTAGGGGGAAACGAGGAGGAGTGAGGGGCATGGCGAAGCCGACCCTCGACGCAGGGCGTGCAAGGTGGGGCTGGGGAGGAGGGAAACGCAGGGAGAGAACCTGGGAGACCAAGGACAAGACCGTGCTGGGACATGTGACGCAGACGCGGGAGCGCAGGGTGACCTAGGCGGTGGTGCAAAAGGAGGGTCGGGTTAGTGAGGGACCGACAGGAGCAGGCAGCAGCAACCTGGGTGAGCGCTCCAGCCGGGGGGGTCACGGTGTCCAGAGTGAACAGGCCGGACACCGGGTCCCGGGGGAACGTGGACAGGGGGGCACCAGTGGCGGCCTCGGTACAGACAGCATACCGCTCGTGACCAGGGAACGTAGTGGTGACGCCAAGGTCCTGGAGGCAGCCGACACCAACTAGGTTCCTGGAGAACGAGGGGATATGCAGACCTGTAAGAGAGCCCGAAGGAACCGCCGGACAGGGAAGGGTGGTGGAACTGCGGGCGACTACCGGACCGCCGGAGGGGTCAGCAAGAGAAACGGCAGCAGGAAAAGGAAGCGGCGTCAGGGTGGTGGAGTCGCGGAAGAAACACCGAGAAGCGCCAGAGTCCAAGGTGAAGGAAAGCGAAGCAGAGGCGGCTGGCGACGGAACGGCGGCGGAAGCACCAAGACTACACAAAGTAGAGGATATTATGCCTGACGCAGCAGGGGAGGCTACACTAGGCACACCTGCACTAGGCAACAGTGAGTAATAAGCTGGAAGCACACTAGAGTCATCAGCATACATCACATGCAGAGCAGAAACAATGGCATCCATGTCCAGGTCAAAAATCGGAATACTACGTCTAAGCATGCTGTGCCAGTCCGGGAGGTCTGGCGACGGGCCGAAGCGCTGACGAAAGAGGTCGTCCAGGCGACGAAAACAGTGGGGAGTGGAGTGACCGATCTTACCGCAAAGGAAGCCGCGGCGAGGACCGGTC